AGTAGTACTGGCACCAGTCCGGGGCAAACTGGCTCTTCCACTTGGCGTCTTGGACAGTCTCCAGGCCGGCCAGCAGGCTCGCCGCCACGCCCCCAATCATCCACCAGTCGTCTGCAGGCTGCCATCCGGGGTATCCCCAGGCGCGCTTGCAGTTTGTCACCAGGCCATCAGAATATAAAATGTAAGCAGCGATCTGCACATACCACAGAGTCATATGTGCAGAGACATAACGAGGCGCCCGATGCTTGCCTACCTTTTGTGGCGTTTGTGCTCTCCCCTCTCCTGCCTTGTCATTAAGGCAGGTAATAAGGCTGCTGGGGTCGCACACAAATAGCCAGACCGACACAGCTCACTATATCACGGGACGCCACACCATGCCATCCCTGTGTGGTGTGCGGTGCTTACCGTCTTGGCTCTCGTCGGCGCTTTCGTCGCCCTCGTTGGCGGCGTCCTTCTTGCTATATATGCTACCCCACACAAAGGCTGCAGACACAGACCGGCACCCATCAGATCAGATCAGATCGTCATTGTCCCGTCTCGCCCTCCATCCCTCCCACGTGTGCCTTACGTGTCAGTCTGGTTGCATTCTCGTCATCGCTATCCCTGATCTCAATGCCGAAGGGCATGTCCCCTCATGCCCAAGGGCGCCGGCTGCACCTCCTCGCTGCCCGCGCCCCTTTGGCCCTTCCACGCATCGCTACGGCACGCCCCCAACGCCAGAGGTTCAGAGAGATGTACGGCCCTCCACTCTCAGACAGACAGACAGACGGACATCAATCGACCGACCGACACGGACCACAGGCAGGCAGAGAGGCAGGCAGGGCGGCAGACGAATTGAAAAAAGTGCGTGGGGCTGGGTGGATACACGCATCAACACAGACAGCACACCACACAACACGGACAACACACCACACTATGCTATGCGACCGAGGCAGAAGGATAAATCATCTTCGCCCACTCCCGCACCAGCTGCTTGAGCAGCTTTGCTGCCCTCCCCGCCGCCTCGTCGGTCCTGTGCTGTGGGTTGGGGTCCAGCAGCAGCTCCGCGACGATGATGGCTGCGGCGTGGGTGAGTTTGAAGTTGCGGTCGGCCTCCTTCATGGCCAGCAGCGCCCGGATGACCGCCTCGTCTGGGTTGTGGGAGGGGGGAGAGGCAGGTGATGACGACGATGGGGCTGGTCGTCACTGGCAGCTGGTGGTGGTGATGGGCTGCTGAAGGCCTGCTGCCGCTTGCTGGGGTCGATGCGGTGCTTGGTGTTGACGGCCTCCTTGATGTCCTCTAGACGGGAGTTCAGCAGCTCCTTCCCGTTGAAGCTCTCTTCCAACACCGTCCTCGTGCACAGCACCGCACGACGCTGCCAGGCGCGCTGCGAGACCGCCGTCTTGCCCTCCTCCTTCGCCTTGTCGACCTGCTCCATCAGCGACTCGAACAGCTGCGAGTCGAAGGCGTGGCAGTAGTACTGGCACCAGTCCGGGGCAAACTGGCTCTTCCACTTGGCGTCTTGGACAGTCTCCAGGCCGGCCAGCAGGCTCGCCGCCACGCCCCCAATCATCCACCAGTCGTCTGCAGGCTGCCATCCGGGGTATCCCCAGGCGCGCTTGCAGTTTGTCACCAGGCCATCAGAATATAAAATGTAAGCAGCGATCTGCACATACCACAGAGTCATATGTGCAGAGACATAACGAGGCGCCCGATGCTTGCCTACCTTTTGTGGCGTTTGTGCTCTCCCCTCTCCTGCCTTGTCATTAAGGCAGGTAATAAGGCTGCTGGGGTCGTGTGGTGCTGGTGGGTCGGTGGATGACGAGCTGCTGCTGGTGTGTGAGGGGGTGCTGCTGCGGAACATGGCCTGC